GTGCTGAGGATCCCTTGGACAGCCAAAAGGACAAACAAGTGGGTCCTAATGCAGATCAAGCTGGAAACCTCCCTGGAAGCCAAGATGATCAAACTGAGGCTGTCGTACTTCGGACACATCATGAGAAGAGAGGACTCTTTGGGAAAAAAACAATAATGCTGGGGAAGGTGGGGGAATGTAGGAAGAGAGAAAGGCCACATGCTAGATGGATGGACTCTATTAAGGAAGTCACGGGTATGGGGTTGCAGGAATTAAGCAGAGCAGTGGAGGTCAGAGGGTCTTGGAGATGTCTCATCCATAGGGTTACCATGAGTCGAGATCAACTCGAGGGCAGTTAACAAAAAAACTGCTCCCCTGACAGATAGAGATTGCCTGCAAACCTGGATGGCTAAAGGAATATCAAATTACTTTTTTAAAAAAAATGAAACAAAAAGAAAAGAAAATAAAAGATTCATGGGACCAAACTGGCAAATGAGTCTGACAGAAGGGAAGGTCAGACCATCCCACCATCCTTGAATTTCTGTTCTTTATTCTAAAGGCACTATTAGTGCAGAGCATAATGGTCTTTCTGTTTGTAGCACACCATATTCTAGTTCATAGAATCATAGAGTTGGGAGACCACAAGGGGCATCCAGTCTAACCCCCCACTGCCATGCAGGAACTCAAAATCAAAGCATCCCCAACAGATGGCCATCCAGCCTCTGTTTGAAGACTATGAATTATTCCTGGATGTGAACCTAACAGGCTGGATGTGAACCTAACAGGAATGTTTGGGAATGAGCCTTGGGTTTTGATGAACTATTTGGCTGAGGAAGCAGACATTCTTTCAAATCCAACAATTGTTTGACTGTTGTATCAAAAGTTAAAGGAAGGAATACCTCAGTCATTCACATAGCTATGTATATTTTAGCAGAAAAGTCACCAGTTATTGTTTTAGGGGCATATTATTCAAAGAAATCTGGTTCACCATTAATTATACTCTTAACAGGCTACTGCAAACAGTCTTGGCATTCCACAAAACATAATACCTATGTGTGCAAATGTCCTTCAGACATTTAAACTTGATATTGTTTGATGCATGCTTAACTTTGGGACTGTACATATATGTTTACTTTGAAGTACCGGTAGGTCCCATTGGATTGAATAGGGCTCACTCTCACACAAATATAAACAGGCTGCAATCTTATACACACTATTGATCTCAAAAGGACTTACTGCAGAGCAGACATAAAAGATTGCAATGAAAATCAAGTTCATGCTTGTGCAAACAAAAGCCAAGATCCAGCACTCTGCTAGAATTTGGCTGTTTGTTTGATATGCTGTCATTCATCCAACTTGGGGACTCACAGCATAGATTAAAACAACGATAGCATTCTTTTCCTTCCTTTTGCAGGCTTCAGCACTGAGTACTCTCTCTAGGGTGGGGAAGGCCCCTATCCCACTGCCACAGGTTTGGGAGTACATGGGTAGATGCAAAAGGAGGACATACTTTTCAATTGTCCCAATTTAACAGGTGATTAATCTTAATTAATCCTCTTTCATCCCACTTTTTCATCTTCTTTTAAAATGTCCCAGTTTCCCTCCCTGCCTTCCACTTGCCCCATTTGTCCTCAGCTTACTTCAGTTCCTAAAAACTGGGTTCAAAATGAAATTGTAGTTTGTATTGAATTAGTTCAGCAGGGAAAGAGGAGATATGGGGCAGAATCTTGCCCTTCCCAATAAGGTCAGGCAAAGCAAACCGCTGCAACCTCTCCTAGCATGTTGGCTCTTCTTCTCTGACAACTCTTGCCGTCTTGACCACACTCCGATGTTATTTGACCACATGCTTCCCAGTTTTCATCTGTGAAATGCTGGAAGGTATGTGAGGGGCTAAACACCCTCCTGGTTCTTCTAATAGCAGAATCATTCAATTGGATACTGTCCATAAAGAGTCAATAAGCCCTTTCAGTTGGTATGAATGGAGGGGATCTTTATTTAGATAACAGTAAGAGAGAATCCATAGGTATGAACATGAAAATCCAAGCTTCTTCATTGGTTTAAAAAATAGGCTAGCAACTATTTTCCTTGCTTCTATTTTTATAACTGTTTTGGTTTCCTTTCAACTCTCTGCTGATGTACATTTTTATTTTCTTTCTAAGGGTGTTAGATGACATATTTCAGAAGCACTATAGAGTCAGAAGGTGTGACCTTGATGAGGTGAGAATATATATGTGTGTGTGTGTTTTATCAGATACACTGTCAGCAGCCATGGAATAATACTACATTTATATCATTTGGACTGTTGAGATTTTCGACTAAAAAGGAATGAAAATGAATGTCTCCAGTTCTGCAGCTACGGGGTGGATTATATGTGTGAAATGGGAGGGGAGACCCCAAATAGATTTTCCTCTTTTATATCTATAGCACAATTTATACAAAACAGAACTGGATGAAATATAGTGCTCTCTCCATTCTGATTTAAATGAAGGAAGGCCCTCCTTATGAAAAATATTTATCATGATGCATTTCTGCTGTTTCTGCCATTTGAGGCAACAGATAAAGCCAGAAAGGATTTGTAATTCTCCACTTTTAGAAATGGATCAATTGATACATGATTTAAACTACAAAGCCTTGCCACCAACTTTGAAGTTCTCTTGCCTTCAAAAGACTGTGCATGAAACTTGTTTTGATGGCACAAAGTGCATGTAAAGCAGAACTGGGCAGTGACAGGGCAGCATGAGGCATCATTGTATGTTCAGACAGAAATACAACATCTTAGGGGAATCAAGTGTTACTATCCACAAAGAAATGTTGATCTTCATAGCTTTGTTTATCATCATACAGTTCCTAGTTATCTCCTCCTCATGACTCTTTAATAACTAGTTCTTGTTTTAAAGGATCATTTAAGAAGAACCCTGTGGGAGTGGGTTGAATTTCTATCAAGTCAAGCTTTTGATTTTTAGACCTGGCTAGCTGCCACATCTGTTTGGCCTTTTTCTATCCTGTTGTAGTGTCCTTGGAACCTGTGTGTAGGGTTGCTGTTGTGGAAAGTTGTTTATTATTATTATTATTATTATTATTATTATTATTATTATTATTATTATTATTATTAATGTCCTGCCCCTCTGACAACAATCGGGGAGGCTTACAACAATTAAAATTCCATACAAATGTGATTAATCCTAAAATGCATTCATGTTGTTAGTAGGGATGTGGAAGAAATTTGTTCATCTTGTTTTTAAGGCAAACTTACCTAATTCCATACTTTCAAAGTCACACCTGAATCAAAATTCCATTATTCTTTTGAATCCACATCTCTTTGAATTTTGAAATGGAATTCTCCAGTCAAAAGAGGTATACAAAAATGTGTATATTAGGAAAATATATTTTTCAACTATCCTGATTTGGCAAGAAGAGTCTTGATTAATTCTCTCCATCCCACTCTTTCAGCTGCTTTTTAAATGGCCCCTGTTTCTCTCTCCTCCTCCAGCTTCTCTTTTTGTTCTCAGTTACTTCAATTGCTACAAACTGAGTACAATGTGGAGTAGTTATTTGCACTCAGTTAACTCATTTGGGGGGAGAGAAAGGGCAAATATTGTCCTTCCCATGGGCTCAGGCAAAAGCAAACTGCTACAGACTCTCCTAGCTTGTCTGTTCTTTCTCATTAATAACTTTTTCTGTGTTGAAATGTTGAAAGCTATGGGATATGTAGCATATAGCATGAAAGAAAGAGAGGAAGGCCACACGCTAGATGGGTGGACTTTATTAAAGAGACCACGAATATGAGTTTGTAGGAGCTGGGCAGAGCAGTAGAGGACACAGGGAGCCTGGAGATGTCTCAACCATAGGTCGAGAGCGATGCAAAGGCAGTTAACAACAAACAATGAGATATGCTCACAAAAAGGTGCATGTTGGTGAAAAAATTGACTCAAATGCATCACTTTGGGAAAACTGCTTGTAAAAATACGTATATTAGGGGGAAATCATACAAAATTCATTTATTTGTAGATGTGAGGATGCATAGCAAAACAAAATAGATAAATGTGTTCATCCCAACTTATCAGTCTTCTTAGGTTCACATGTCATCACACAATACTGAGGTAACTATAAAGAAGCAGCAACATTTTTGCTTCTGTAATGTACTCACTGATTTTGTAATGTACAAATTGAGCCTGACTTTAAAGAAAAATGGGAACTTTTTCTGTACTGAGCATTCTCATTTTGAACAGAAGGAAAGTTCTGTTAAAGTTTAAATTATGTTTAAGTTTAGAATGAAGTTAAACAGAATTTAATGAAATTGAGTAAATTGAGTTGTTACTATTAGGTAGAATATCAGTTATAAAGATGAATGTGTTGCCAAAAATGTTATTTTTGTTTCAAACATCTTGACAAACGATATACCATTTAAACAATGGCAGAAGGATATTTTTGTAATTT